TATGGACTCCCCAAAACTTAATTTATATTTTGGGTTATAGTCTAATACTATATTATTTGTTTTCTTGTTTGAAGTGTTCCAGTTTCGTCCATTGGAAGCTATTCCAGTTGGCTCTAATGTCCCTTTGACATAACCATGTTATTTTATTACTTTGGTACTTTTAAACTTTCTGGTCCCACTACATGCCCCAGGCTGCTTGCATATTCCTGCCCCTGTCCTGGAATTAACCATTTCTCCAAGAAGCCTTGGTTCCTTTTGGTGGAGACGATAGTAGAAAACAAGACCTGACTGCTAAGCAGAGTACCTCAATGTTTTCTGATAACCATTCTTAGAACTAGTTCAGTGACAGACATTCACATACCCAAATTTTTTTCACACATAATTTATGGCGAGACCTACTATTCTTGGATTTGACAAATTGACAGGTGTTAATGACATCACTTAGGGGTGTTTTTTTTTTGTTTATTTGAGGACTCAATGTTAACTCTGAAGAAAGTGATGAATATTCTGTATAAAAATTACAAACAAAAATGTTTTCAAAGAAGTTGAAAAAACATAAATCCATTATAATCTGACGGGAAATCTGCTAAGATGTGTTAAAACTGATGGTAAAAGAAAACAAAACAAAACAAAAATTAAAAAAACACTGATGGTGTTAAAATATGGTGGTAAAAATATGGTGGTAAAAATATGGTGGTAAAAATATGGGTGAGGCTGAAAAAGACTAAGACAAATTTACAAAGCTTATTAAAATATAAGGCATCAAAAGTCTATCTTTATTGCTTATGTTATTTATTAGCAAACATTGTGCAAAATATTAATATGTTATTGAACATATTAGTGTTCAAGGTATATTTTTTTGGCTCTTCTGAATTTAAACATCAGCAGTTTCATTGTTTTTAGAAGAAGAAGGTGTATAAAATCACTTTTCCTACAATACAGTAGTTTAATTTCTTAATGGTGGTAAAGTTACATTATAATTTTTTGAACTTAAAACTTAGACTAAATTTTTTTCTGAACGAGAAGAATTGTCTTCAAATATGAGTACTGAATACTGGAAGATTTTGGAAATTAGTTTAGCTATTAGCTTGATAATTTTTTAAATGAATTCAACCCAAAATTAGCAGACAAAAACAGCATTTAAGTGCAAAATTTATACTGTGTAAGTCATTCTGTTGTTTGAATCACAAGTATGGTCAGCTGCTTAATACATTTCCCACGCACTCGATTCTGCTGCAAATTTGCAGTGGATATATTTTCTGAGCTCAAATTTTAGTTTCAGCAATGTTTGTCAGGCCTTGATGCAAATGCAAATGATGAAGACTTTCTAAATCAGCTGGGTAGCCTAATTAGATGATACGTCAATGAATCCAAAAACACGGGTTCAATAACTGCCTATCCTCCATAAATGTTTTACAAAGGAATAGCATTTATACTTAAAAAGACTGTATTTGTGAAATTGAGAAAAATAACTCAAAGAACATTTCCAGTTGACAGTAGAACAGAATAACATCCATCTATTGCTTAAATTTGCCAAATAAATGCCACTTCCAGTTTCAATTTAATTTATGTATACTTTTTCTGAGACCCGTCCTTCCGTTTGTGGAAGGCTGTTAAAGATAAAGGTTATAAACACACTGCACATTAAAATGCACTGTGCCTTTTTAATATGTCCCTTTAAGAATATAAACAATTGGTCTATGTATATACCAATCAATTAGGAAATCTGTGATCTCTTAAGTGAGATCATATAAAAACCACTAAACCACTTGAAAAAAGTCCATCCTTATTGATAAAATGCATTAAAATTGGATGCAACATTCTAGCCTAAAACACATAAAGACAGACTGTTTATTCTAAAGTAGCATTCTAAATTATTCAGTCTGAAAAAAAGAAGAGTTAATATTAGAGTGAACCCTGCTTTTCAATTCATACTGAGAACTGATACCAATAAAAAGCATAAGAAAGTCACACTTACTATGGACTGTCAGTTTTATATCCTTGGCTTGCTTGCCAGCTGCATTGGACACAGTGCACTGGTAGCGCCCCTTGTCACTTCTTCGCACATTCTTTAAATGTAAAACTTGTCCTCTGTCTAGAAGTTCAATATTAGGATCTCCCAAAAATAAAGGCCTAGAAAAAATAAAATTTTATTCCATGAGTCTATTTTTATTTTCCTATATTTCCTCTCTTCTTAATCACAACAAAAAGCATTGTCATATGAGGTTAAAAATCATAGTTGAATTTTTTAGTAGAAATCTAGAAAAAAATGATGCACTTGGTACTCCTACTGAGAAGAATGGAATTATTAAACTACTCCACTAATGCAAGTGAGATAATTATCACTTTAAGATGAAGGGTTTCTTCATTTTGAACTTAAAGTGTTGAATAATATTAATAGCAAACTGGCAGTATCATTATCTGCTTCAGTCATTCATCCCTTCCTTTTTTTCTTCTTCTGGTTGTTTTGCTTTTGTTTTTTATGGTATTTTTTGTTTTGTTTTGGTTTTGGTTTTGGTTTGCACAGCCAATAGTTCTACCATCATTTAGAAAAGAAAAACCAAGAGTATAGGAGCTTCAGGCCAAGCAATATTATTTTTGAACCAATTATCACTATATCACTATCTGGAAAAGTATTCACAATAGAAAAAAATGATTATTACTTACTGAAGACAATGACCAGGCCACTTTTTCTAAAAAGTAGATATTATGGTAAATATGAGTGGTTTTTTAATCATAAATACTGAAAAGTATTTATGACTAAAGCAGCTCATATATAGTTGTCTAGGAAGTCTTTTTCTGCTACTGAGCCATTTACTGACTATTAAATGCTCACTGATAAAATTGGCAACAGCTTTACTGAATACTCAAAACATCCTGGTTATTAAAGTCGATGATATCCCAAGAGTCATCTCTTTAAGTCCATTGATCTTCTTTTTAGGAATACTCACAGCTAGTTTTTAAAAAGTTGCAATGACTTAACCCCATGATAC